GTCTTGGCCTGTGACATCCCAGAATCTGGGGAGGATGGTCGTGTCCTCCGGGCCGGTGCCAAAGTCAATGAAATCCCGTCTCAGGAGGATTGTTTGTCCTGATGCCTCCAGAATGGCCGACCGGGCTGAGAAGATAGCCTTCAGCATGCATTGGTCGGCTTTTGTAGCACCTGGATGTCTGGAAGTTCGAACTCCATAAAATGTGGTTGCGCTCTCAAGATCTGGGAGAAGGGCTGAGACAAGCTGTCGGAATGCCTGAAGTGGGTGGTCTTTGGCCCTCTCAAATTCTGCCTTTGGTGTCAATCTGGAGTCGATTTCGAGGACGATCTCGGTGATAGCCGCTGTTTGCAGCTTCAATTTGGGCTCGGGTAACTTGTAGGACAACCTCCCTTTCACCACCAACATAAGGGTGAGCCGCTTGTAAACAGTTTTGGAGACTGAATCTTCAAACGTCACTTCATATGGCCCTTCAAAGTTCTGATGCATGGTCGGCGGTTTGGCACCATCAACAGTTGGGATCAAAAGGGCAAAGTCCAAAGAGTCAGCCAACCGGACCAGGTCGGAGACGTGTTGTTTGGTCGTAAGGACGACTCCTGCCCGGGCAGCCGTGACCTGCAGTCGATGGGTTTGGCTCATGGATCGGCCGTCTGTTCCGTGGAAAGGGATAGGATCTTGTAACAGAAGATCTTCCCACTTGGCCTGAGCTGCCTTGCCACTCTTTTTGAGCCAAGGGTCATGCGTCCACAAGTAGTCGGTCTGCTCTGAGGCCTTGGAGGGTGGGCTCTTTGGTTGGGCTGCAGTGCGTGTGTCCGGCTCCGCGCTGGATGTGTCCATGTTATCATTGCCAGCTCCTGCGGCGATGGTCTGGTCGGGAAACTGGTGGCGAGAAACTCGCAATAGCAGCCAGCGCCTGAGCACTTGTGCCAGCGTCTGCAAGTGGGCTGACGCTCCTGTCTGTGTGTAACGGTGACATGCTCTGTTCCAGACGGCTGTAAGCCTGGATGTCTGATCAGTGTGCATGAACTCGAACTCTTGGCTGATAGAGAGTGGTGGAAGCCGAACATTGAGGCGGCTGTAGATGTCATCTACAATCTGGTAACCGCATGTGTCTGGGATGTCGGCCTGGGATATGCAATGGAGCACAAAATGGTGACCATTGTAGCCAATGTCTGCTCTGAGCCGCTGAATGAGCGGGAGGTATCTCCCGACCGACTGGGGTGGTGCTGTCAGAAAGAGATGTGCGTGATTGTGGACTTTGTAGCACTCTGCTTGAATCCAGTGCCGACCATCTGTAGGCGGTGAAGTTGGGAACTGGTGCGCATTGAGGTAGTGCAATCGGTCAACTGTATCATCCCAGGCTGCCGGTGAGCAAATGAGCGTGTCAGGCAGCAATGCCCTTGGTGCTTCAAGTGCAAAGTCGATCTCGTCGGAGGTGGCCCATGCTGGGCAGAGTTCAAGCTGAGTGATGCGATCAGCAATTCTGTCGGCAACTTGGTTGATGTGTTCCTCAAAATCCTGCTGCGGGAGCGGTGGAGGCCTGGGCTGGTAGTTCAAGGGGTAGGCCGTGGTGATTGGCCTCTGCTGAACTTGCCCACTTTGTGTGTGCCTTCGTGCCAACGAGAGGAAGAAGTGGCTTCGCAACCTGGATGCCATAGCCCATAGCGCTGGGGATGCTCCAGCATCGTGCCAATCTTCAATGGATGATTGCAGTACAATGCTGATTTGTTCGTGCAACTCAGGCGTGGTCGGCAGTTGGCTGTCGTTGATGGCAATAGTGTCTCGGACACCGATCTGGTTTGCCCATCGTTCAATAAGCTGCCATCCGCAAAGGTGTGGAGAGTGCATTGTGCGATCATGCTGGATTTGCATCCTGTGTGGTGCCACGTCAAGAAGACGAGCGAGGATCAAAATGATCCTTGTGTGAAGATGCCGTGGGACATGAATGGTCGTAACAGATACAGCATCATCTGTGCGCACGATCTCGAGTGCGCACCAGTGGTTGCCAACAAGAATGGGCATGTGAGTGGTTGCATTGGTCCAAATGGTCGGAGGACCAAAGGGTGCATCGGTGAACTCGGACTCTTCTTGATCCCAATAGACTGGTGCCGAGTATCGGGGTCCTTGGTCTGTGGCCCAATGTAGGAGCTGGCAGATGAAGTGAACTTCGTCTGCTGCAATCCACCCATGAGTGTTTGTGGGAAACTCTGCTCTGTCAGAGAAATTGGCGTCAGCTGGCAGAATCATCGGTGTTCCGCTAAGGTGGTGCCCTCCGGCTCTATTCTGGAAAGTTGACTGGATAACCAGAATGTCGCCATGCTTGAGGGGGATTGTTGCTGGTAGCTCTTGCATGTGGTTGAAACCAGCAATCGTGAACACCTCTTGTGCAATGACGAATGTTTGATGCCTGTCAACAGTTTGTGGAGCGAAACAAGCCCAGAAATGGTCGGACCCATGCAAGTGAAGGATGACTGTTGCCTGGCTGGGGTCATCCTGGATCCACTGCGTGATGATGGAGTGTAGTCCATGGAGGTGGATCTGCCGATAGATCTGGACCGTCTGCTTGGTGGTAGTCCGGATGGTATGAACCAAATGGTCATGTTGGGTGACGGGCGCCCAACAGGAAAAGGAAAGGCCAGCTGGGGTTGAGGAGCGTGAAATTGGTTGTCACACGCTCATGCATGCGAAAGCCAAAGAGATCAAGGATGCCACTTTGTTGCAGGGGAGAGACTGGAGTGCTGTTGTACTTCATATGGAATGGTTGGAGAGATATCAGCTGCAATGGTGGTCTTGCATCTCTTGGCCTGGTGCTCTGCCGGCTGGTGGGTTATGGTGGCGGTGCCGATTGCACTGGACCCACATTGAATCTGCCAGTGATTGGAAAGCAGCAGCAACTCTTGGAGAGTGCTGTCTTGTGTATGCTTGCTGCTATGTTGCTCAAGTGTAAAGGATCCCAGGAGCATCCTGGGCCCTTCGAAGAGGCATTGCAGGCACTTCGCAAAGGAGGCAGCCGGATTGAAGAATCCAGAGCATGTTCGGTGGTGCTCAAAGTCAATCTGGAGACTGATGAAGCCATCGGGATGGTTGCGTGCCTCCTGTCGAAGGAGCTTAGTGCACTGGTTGTGCTGCATAATGTGAACCCAGCCGTTGTGAGCCACCACAATTGCATTGTTTGCAGTGAGTCTGGAGTCCCAGCACTGTCAAATGACCTGTTGGAAGTCGATCTTGATAGGCAGGACCGCTTGGAATGCAAAGAGCAAAGCCAGCAAAGCATGGGGCACTGCAATAGCGTTGCCCACAATCTTGAAAGCTTCGGATAGCTTGAGTGGGAGCTGAAGTGACTCAACTGTAAGTATAGCCAATGGTGGGATTGACTGGCGTCGCGTAAGCAGGCCAACCAGCTCCTCGTTCGAAGACCAGGCATGCGTCAGTCCCTGGTGGGTTTGGAACTCCCACTTCCAAGGGAAGGTACATCCGATCAGCTAATGTCTGGTTGCTGATCTCATTCGGGTCAAAGAATCCCCGGATGCACACCATCAGTGGCTCTTGCAGCGTTCCAATCCTGATGTAAGCTCTCAAGAAAGGTGCCAAGCTCACTGAGGTCATAGCCTTAATCGCAGGGCGCTCCATCTCAATGATTCCGTCACGGATGAAGGTGTTCTGAGCCCTCTGCGATATTGAGTCCCACAAAGCAATGTTTGGGATGCCGCCAGGTGGAAAGGGCAAACCATATGCACCTCCGAAATAGTTCAGTCGGACAGTGTTGTCTACAGCATTGCCGTTCAATTCGGCACCTGCCACATTGAGTGGGTCCCATGTGAACCCGACACGGAATCCATGCCACCAGTTCGCGGCACCTGCAGCATCTGCCAAAAGCTCATTCGGCGGTGTGGTGTTTGCTGAGTATGGTGGTAAGAACTCCATGATGGAAGGGTCACCTCCAATGTTGATGTAAGTGGTCTTGAGCATGGAGATGATCCGAGCCATGATCGGGTCGATAAGTACATCGTTGTACGCGTTCAAGCGTCCCCTGATGGAGTTGTCGATTTGCTGGTACGCTGCCGACCGCAAGCGGTTTATGTTCTGTAGCATGCTGGCCAGCAATGCGTGACGAGCACGGAGCGCAATTGACACGATGTACACGTTGAAGGCATCTATGCCTATACGATCTATCACCTGTTCTGCCTGACTCGATGAGAAGCAGGCTAGAGTCAACAGCACGTAGTGCCAACGCAGCACTCTCCTGAGCTTAGAAAAGCTCATGAAGCAAGTGCGAGCTGGGACGTCTACCCCGTAATCCGAACTGGCCTTTCTCTTGCATGGGAGAAGGCACAACTGCTGGGCCTGGTCCGGCTGTTGGACCGGCTTGTCCTTGAGGGACAGCGGGTAGTGTTGGTGGGACAAGTCCAGGTGGTTGGCCTGTACTGACCGCTCCAGGTGCCGCAGGCGGCACAGCTGGAGGAGGCGGGCCACTTGGGGTGGGATCTCCCCCTGAGGGTTCTCCACCTTTTGGTTGTCCGCTTCCATCGCCCTTTCCGGATTTACCCTTCCCTTTCGGTTGGTCAGCCATGAGCAGAAAAGGCTAGTGACAATCACAATGATCAGGTGTATCAAAGGATCACCACAAGTGAAATGACTCTTCACACGTAAGAGACTCATCACTACACTGAGTTTCTGACGTAAAATGATGCACAGGGCATCATTATATATATATAATATATATACTGGCATAGGACCCGAGAAATGGATTGATCACACATTTCAGTGGTGCGCAAGCTCGCGGTCGGTCGTCTTCGACACCACCGAGCGGACCCTCATAATAAGCACCTCAATTGGTCCTTCAGTGGACCGATACAACTTATTTCATGTTCCTTGTCGAGTTAGACTTGAGTCATTCCATCACCCCAAAAATGTCCCCGTTCTCCGCCGCATCTTCTCGAACCCCCCAATTGACTCTTTGGTTTCGCCCATCCGAGACGGGCGAAACGCGAAATGCTGGGGGCCTGTTCAGTGAGGCCGCCCATGCAGATGAGCATCTGGTGAACCAAAAGCGCGAGCCAACCCATGGGGCATTCCTGCACCTCTCGACATGTCTCGGTCGAGTTGTGAGTTGGGACGTGGACTGGGTGAGGTGACCGGTTCTGGCTTCCGTCCACGGTCTTCGGGCGTTGTGGAACAAAGTACGTTGCCGCGGGCTCACTCTGACCGACGAAGCAAGAGTCTCTTGGGGACTACTAGAGGTTGTTGTTTTAGAATGGTCCTGGTTCTTGTCAATCCCTCATTGCCGACGAAGCACTTGGCTGAGCTTCATTGCTAACTATGCGCCTCCACCCGGCTCCGCTCTCGTTTTTGAAGTGAAGAGACACCTCCAACCATGGAGTCTCTGTTCACTTTCCACCGAAGATCCAAGGGGACAGTCCCCTCTGTTTTGACGTGCACCCAAGGCTGTGTCAAACACCCTGCCAGCCGATTGCGGAGGTTAAGTGATGATTCTTTGACCGGGCCCTGAGTAAGTGACAACGCAAAACACAGCCAAATGGAATGCGAAGCTGAAGCATAATGCCAGCCATAAGCCCAAACACTATTATATAGTTCTTTAGTCATCTTCGATCTTGGATACTCTGGTGCATCTCTTCGACACACTGGCGGCTTTCGGGAGAATTGAAGCCATTCCAAGTTGATACACAGTCCTAGGGCAATCTTCACTGACAACAATAAAACCCTGAAAGAATAGCCAAAACACTGGCATAATTTCCCAGATCACTTGCTGCTATGGGAAGACTAGTTACTGGAAAGGCAGTTAGTGAGGGGAGTGGTACTACTGCCCAAATTTCAGGAATTTCTGGCTCCCAAATTTCCTCATCTGCATATAAGCTAAGCGAAACAAGTTTCGCTGGTCGATGGATGGCGGGCTCACGATTTGTTGGATAACTTATGCAAACACCTATTAAATAGGTAGCAAGGTGGTCAACCTCTCTGCCGATCTCCGCGCCTTCCCCTCCATGTTCTGCATGGCATGAGGGTTCAGTGTGTAGTGGATGGCCTTTGGGGAAAACACACAGAGTGTCGTTCTGAGTTCGGTCCCGAGACGGATGGTCAGATGAGGGGCGCCACCCGGCAACGGGCCACCCCTTTTCTAGCACATCCTGCGGCATCAATCCGGGAAGAAGCTCATTGACACGAACGTCAGAATCATCTTTGGAGAGCTTTTTTTCACATGATCAAGCAACCGTAGAAATGACTGGGCCAAGCAGTGAGAGAAGAATGGTGTCCTCTATTGCGCATTTTGGTGTCCTCTATTGTGTTGAAACATGCACATGTTGTGCCCATTTGGGTATGCATTGCCTGTCAAAATGGTTTGATCCAAATACATGTGGGCTTGGCACTTCAAAAGTATCCTGCTGAAGCTCTGTTTCATGATCCTGTGCAACTTTTGATTGTTTCTACCAAATTATCTCGGTAATCTTCACCAGTAAATGGAATATACTTCTTCTTTCAAGCAAACGGGTTCAGCAAACCTCACAGAAGCTGAGTCACCTAAAAGCAACCCTAGGCCCCTGAGTTAGGTCCTTTCTTCATTTGGAGCCACTCCTCCAAAAGGGTTGGAACACACTGCAGTCGCATGTGAACCATTCACCCTGGCACAAAGAATGTACGTCCTATTGTTCGTCACGTCCACTTGATTGTGCATCTCCAAGTCGCATCATGGTAGCTCTCCTGCGGGCGTTGAGGGCGTCACACACGTCGTTGTCGAGTAGGTGTCTCAGAGGTTCATCCGATCTGGGGAGTGGTATCAGGTGTACTGCCGCACTTCTGGGGGGGTTGGAGGTCGGAAACCACACTTTGACCGGCCAGTCCAGTGGGGCTCTGCGAGTTCTCACGCCTCTCCCTGCCAGTCCTTGGAGGTGGACCCCACAGATGGGTCGGACATCCTGGCGCGAAGGGAGGGACCACGGCGAAGTCCGCTGCGGTTTCCACATGAAGAGAACCACATGGAAACGCCCCAAAGCTCAAGGGCAATGAAAAAGACATGAACCACTTAGTGGATCCATCCTGTGCCCAAACCATCAACAATGAACAATGAACAGTATGTGAGGTCTACAAGGGACAAAATGAGAGAGTACACGGGCAGTTCATTCAATAACTAACAAACGGGCCAAATCTACCACAAAACCGCGGTAATGAGCGTTTCAGTGTAACAGGTTCCAACTTCCGTCTTGACCTCACCAACTCAACCTGGATGTGGTGTACTCATTGTCTCTGGAGAGAGGTGCGATTCCACAGTCAGGAACTGTTTCCATTGAAATTTGGGAAGGACAAAGGCAAAGCAACAAGTGCATTTCATTCTGTCTGCCCTTGCAACCACAAAAACAGACCCAAGTGGCTGGCAATTCGATTGGTCACTAATGTCGATAGATCTCAGCCAACCATTGAACAATTCCATCTGCAATCAACCCTGCACCTCCGACAAATTGTTGGCAACCCATCAAGAAAAGTACATGGACTGAACGTGAAATAGCAAGTCGTAGATGGTCACTGAGAAGAGATCGAGCACTGAAAATAGATCGAAAACGCCGAAAACGCTCCGCGTCCCCTCCGATCGGTCCCGTCGCGAGTCAAGTCGCCTCGTAAGGTGTCCTTTCCAATCCCAGCCTTGGACGACCGGTCCCACACGGGTCAAAAACTCGTAGGGTCAAGTTCTTTCAAACGTGAAGCACGGTGGGAGGAAACCACAATCACCAGATGGTGCACGAGCAAACACCAGTGACACCAACAAAAACCTGCCTGGCTTCGACAAAAGAGATCCGCCGACCCCAGTCTAGGACGATGAACGGGAGTAAACAGCGGAGCAGGGCTGGTCTGCTCTTGACCGAGGATTTGCCACTCCGGGCTGCCTTTTGCAGCCGTGGTCATCTTCTGGCAGCATGACCAACACGAATGCAACGGACAAACGAAGGTCGTCGAAATCCAAAGGCGTCGAAACGAACACGCATTTTAATGTTTTTGAAGCATATTCCTTTGGGATCGGGATGTGTGCTGTTGAAGATCCAGTGCAGCCACATCGTTTTGCCACGGGAACATCAGCGAACATCTGCCGCAGGAAATCCAACAAGGAGTGTCAAAACTGCCCTCGTAATAGGAACGCCTTAGCTACCCTTCGCCATCCCTTGTCTAGCCATATTTGAATAAACCAACTCCCAAAACACTTTAGACCTAATGAGACTTCTGTAGCAAACACCTTCATTCAGACAAGCAACCAGAAGGGAACTCCTCTTGCAACTCACAGTCCACGCCTGCAATTTGAAAACTTCTCGGCGAGGCGTGGGGAACATGAGGAAAGTCTCACCATCAGCGTACTTCTGCAGAGGCTGTGCAAAAAAGATGTGCTGGCCAGGCGCTGTCAGGCTGTCAACCCCAATTGAAGCTGTCATGTTGGAGCAGGATGACGAAGCGATTTCACATTTGAAGGATTGAGCATGGAGCGTGATGCGCGCTTGTGGCATCAGTGTGTAGAAGGGGTATTTCACCCGACTGGACATATCAACAGCAAAGCATGGCAGAGGTGATGGAAAACACATTTTTGCACCCGCCTAGGTAGGAAAAAGACTTTTCGGGGGGAATGACCTCTTGTATGGCCCGGGCCAAATTGACAGTATTTGTTATTCTTTTGTTTTAGCGGGAGTCTGGCACCGTTGGTCGTGCATGCAAGGCAATACAACCACACATCTGCACTGCACTGCTTTCTGCTTGTGAATCGGACCTGCACTTCTCTTAGTCATGGGCTTGGGACATCAGGAAACTGTGCATGCTGACGGGGTCGTTTGCCTTAAAGTCCACCACGTGTTGTGGCCCTTGACGCACTCTAAAGAACACATCGCACAGTCAAAACCTGCATTCTGGGACTATTCAAATGGGTCCCTGAGTAGATCGACCATTCTCACGCCTTTAGGAGACATGCTTTTTAAGTCTCCTGGACCATGTCACTTCTTCCTCAATTCTACCAGAGATCTTCTCCCAAACGTATTTTTGACTCCTCCCCATTGGAGCTGGGACTTTTCTTCTATAACTTGCCTTCTTTCTTATCCGTTCAATTGCGATGTCTCTCACCAGAAGCAGAAAGACTCTTGCATCTATGACATGTTTCTCGCCAGGACAAACACTTTCTGCAAACAATTTCTCACCCATTTTCACCGGCCAACCGGTCTCTATCGACCGGAGGCCACTTTTCTCCATCCTCCGGTCGTGGAGAAGTCTGGTTCTGCCTCGAACATGTCGGTTCCGCTTTGGTGCTGAGCAGTGCTGGGTTGATACGTGAGGAGCAAGGATGATACTAAGCGGCTCCTGGCCTTACTACTAGGAACAAGAAGCTATTAGGGCTCCTGGCATCGCTATGAACGGAGCAAGGACGCTATTAGAGTCCAACCACTGCAGAAACCATTCTACAAAACCTCGGGGCCGACAGCGGTGCTGGAAAAAATGAGGCCAAACCAGATAGAGACTCCATACATATACAGTAGCTCTAGCAGCCAAACTTTGGGTTTCAAAAGTTGATAAGAGTGAGCGCCAAAACTTCTGGGCACAAAACCCAATTTGGCTGTTACTCGTCCGACTCTCCCACCACCAAGCACCTTTTTGTTCACATCTTGAACCCTGAAAGACCTGCCTGGGAATGGAGTTTGGGATGGATGGAAGCCGATGAATGGGACCAACCAATGTCTGGCCTCTTTTCGTTTCCACCGATCTGAGCTCTATGCTTCCCATCACCCCAACTCCATTCCGGTTTTCGGCAGGCTGTTCCTCAGAAACCCCACAAACTGACTGGTGCGACGACTTGTAGGGAATCTGGGAATGGATCCAGAGGGGCCAGGCCGACAGGGTGGTTCATTCCCTCCCTACGAGTCGTAGCACGAGTCTGCAAAGCCCTGCAAAACGTTGGACGACCGTAGGGGACCCAAAGGGCCGTCGGTCGACGACCGGGCGTCGGTTGACAAAGCCGTCCGATCTCGACTCCGTGGTTGTTGTGATCGTATTGGCTAGCGGTTTGGTTCTGCGCCTCCAAAGAGGTACCAAACATTTTTAAGAGGTACATCACCGTGGTACATCCCCTGGTACCCAAACACCTCCACTTTGGGGTCGTCTGTCTTTGTCGTCCAGACACCACGCGTCCCCGCCCCGGATGGTTCTTCCACCTGGCTCCACGTGGGGAGCCACGATCCTGATGGCTTCCTCCGCGGGTCGCACCTCAGAGGCAGAGCACGCGTCCGACGCGTCCGAGGACGCGGCCCTCTTCTTCGTCTCCGGCGGACCGGGATGTGCCGAAGGACGGGTCTGTGATGTGTGGCTCGGTGTGTCTGTCTTTAACAACTCCTTTTTGGTACCTTCCCTCACTGGGCCGTATTTGTTCGGTGAGAAGGGGCTCGGAAGAGAGCAAGGTGCACAAGGGATTCTCTTAGGTCGTTGAGTCCTTTTGAGAAGAGACTCTCCCCACTTGTCCATGACCCCCCCAAAGGTTGAAGCCCCGATCGGATCAAGAGATGCCAAAATTGCTCAGGACTGGGCATGCTCACGACCTTCCTGGCTTTCCAGGAATTCTGAATTCCTGGAAACTCACCTCTCAACCTTCTGGCTTTCCTGTCAGGTTCGGAACCAAGGTGCTTGAGGAGGTGTTTTGAGGAACACATGTCTGACATGGAACACAAACTACCTCAACAACGAAATGAACCATGCCATACCACCACATAATTGCAGCTCAACCAGAAAAAATCCGGCACCACCTGAAGTTTTCCAAATTGCACAGGGGGCCCCTTCGTTCTCAGCTGCTTCTTCGTTCTCCATCCAAGGCCAAACCCTCCCTCCACCTCGAGAACCTCCACCACGCGTTCTGCTCCTCTTTCTCCGCCAAGGAGCCCACATCGTCATCAGATCCGCGAAGCGCGTGTTCATGAAGACGTAGATCTGCTCCCAACTCCTTCCACCGATGTGTCACAACCGACCGCACCAACGGTTTTTTTAAAGAAGGGATGGAAGAAAGGACCGAAGCAAAACGTTCGGAACCGCAAAAGAACGGGACGATACCCTTCCAATCCCGACAAATTCACTTGAAGACTGAAATTCCCCAAGGGTTCCTCGAATCCACTCCACTCCGAATTGAACATCCAAGCGAACAAACATGCACACCCACCGCAAATCACCAGAACACCTCCCCCCCGGTCAAGCCCGTTCATGTCATCCGTCCCCTTCACCGTCCACCTGAGGCCCCAGGAGCTGTGATCGCGTCCAAAGAGCTCCCTGCTGGTGGGACGGGGGTGGCAGCGGGTGGCTCCACAGTTCTTGGATGAACGGGGGTGACAGGGGCTGCTGGGAAAGGACTGGAAGGGCACCCGTGATTGTTGTTTTTTCAGTGATTTGTGCCGGATTGGAGCAGCACCTACGTGATTTCATTCTGTGGTTATGAAATGGGATGCCCAGCGCGTCGGGCCTTTTCAACCTTGAGCCAAAGTAAGACGAACACACTCGTAGCGCTTGGCTTTCTACGAGGTGTGGTTGTACACCTTTTGATTTGTGCACTTCATGAATCACACTCCCCCTGGCTTGGTTCAAGCCATTGAGAGCTAATCATCTGACTCGCTTGAGTCTTCACGAACCCTTGAGGTTCCAGAAAAACCGCGACGCGGCTCCCAAGGGTCATTTGACCTGGGCCTCACTGGCATCTGCGTAGACACCCCCATCCAAGTTGGCGTCTCCTGATCTTGGTCCTCAGCTGGTGGTAGTACAGGATCCGGTCCTCTGTAGATTTCTCGATTCGGGGGTGCCAAGCTGCTTCGCACCACCCTCCACCCTTGAGCGGTCATCTCGTCCAAGGTTGGCAGTTCTTCATCCTCACTGGCCAGAGTTCTCCTCCAGTCAGGTCTTTCTGCACTGCTCGACTCACTCTCCACCGGCCGGTTCTCCACGGGGGACCCCGCATCAACGGTCAAGTCCCGCATGAACGCCAGCCAATCATCCCGTACATCATCCTCCAGCGTGGTTCCATCATGTCCTCCAGGTCCTTGTGCCCAATAGGCAGGGTCATAATCCCACCCTCGATCCATCTCTTCACTCACCCAGGAAAGCTCTCGGGAATCTCCAGACGTCCCCGATCCTTCAACTTCTCCTCGCTGTTGATGGCCATGAAGCCGCTGCCCATAGCCTCCAATGCCACTGCAACTTGCTCCCTCATTCACCCTTGTGCTGAGTTCCGAACCAGATTCCACCGGATTCGGGTCCTGTCCTTGACGATCTGGTCGGACATCTCGAGGCACTCCTTCCATCTCTGGACCATGTTCCGCAATGCCCGGCATTGGCGGTGGTCCGGAGGTCAGTGAACCGCTCATCGAGGAAGACGTCCTATCGCCCTGTCCTCTGGTAGTTGATGAACTGGAGGTCGAAGTCAAAGTCCCCGCCGTTGGGTCTGGATGAAGATCCCTGAAGAAGGTATATCCTACCCAGGGGTCCCTCATTGGTGGTTCCGTGTCTCTCCTCCATTCATCATCCCTGATCACCTTTTCCCCCACAACACGGTGATTCTCCGATCTTGAATGTGGCTACAGTTCATAGGTGTGTGTCGATGAATTGGATGGAATGGTCTCATCCTCTGCTTCACATGGTGTCTGACCCACCATCCCCCTGGAAGTCGGTCCCATCGATCTTGACCCCTCGAAGGCATAGTGAACCTCCTCCATGTCCAGGGTCGATCGTAGTCCACAACTGGAACCTCTCCAGTAGTCGTCGACGATGTCCCTCCGAGCCCTGTCGAAGATCCCTCTCTCAGAGCAGCCAATCGTGCCCTCTTCGAGTTGCCGCCATGGCTCACATCTACCGCGTAATCCCGGGAGCCCTCAGGGCTAGGTTCACTAATGGGTTCCTCTTCCGACCCATCATCTCTACTGCAGGTGGGTTCATCTTCCCTCACCTGATCTTGAAGTCCATATGGTGGATCTGCATATTCATCTCTTATCGGCCCAGTGGCTCTCTTCTTAGAATCACAGCCGGCTCTCCAGCTGGTGGCCAAACTAGCTACCATCGCAGCTACGGCTAGGCTGTGAGCAGCCTTGCCCGTGGAACCTGACGGCCGCCAGGCCATCACGCCCGCTAACCCACTTTGGACCCTAGGCTCTCAGACACAGCTTCCACCACTGGTTTCATTCCCATGGCCGCAAAGTAGTGCTGCCATCTCGCAGCCACTCCGATCGGCTTCGTCAGGAAGTCAGCCACCAAATGTTGACCGGGGATATGGATCACCTTCCAAGCGCCCCACTTCACCCTCTCCCGCAGTGCATGGGCTCGAAGCCGAAGGTGACGTGTCCTCCAAGGTCCATCCGGCGCTTCAAGGATTCGAAGACCAGCTTGGTTGTCTCCCCCCAAACGGCACTCTATTCCTATTCCATCTCCTGTTCCTTCCAGAACATTGGTCAAGGCCGCCAAGGAATCCCCCATGGTCATCGCTTCTGTGTAACCCAGCAGTTCAGCCTCTGCGCTCGACAGCGTGCAAAACGCCTGCTGCCTGGATTCCCATTGGACCGGCTCGCCCCCATAGGTTCCAATCACGCCCTGACACCCTCTCCCAGAAGGAGGTCCAAACGATGCGTCCGAAAGGACGTCCACCCTCATAGTAGGATTGTAGTGTTCTCCAGGGATTGAAGACCGGGCTCGTCCATAGTGAAGCGACCATGCCAAGGTGGTTTTCAAATATCCCAACATCTGACATCCATACTCCAAGACCCGCTTTGGAGCTCGGGTCACCTGTCGTCCCATCCAAGCTACTCCATAGGCCAGATCAGGTCAGCTTCTCACTGACACCCACAGTAGTTCACTGCGCCTTTCTCACATCTTCCAAGGTGACTTCCGCTTCCGGCTCCTCATTGGGCACTCCTGGAAAAGGTACCGTAGCCGGGGTCACCCAGGAATGTCGGCTCAGAAGCTCCTGAATGTATGCTTGCTGCCCCACATAGAGCCCGCTGTCCTCCTCCGCCGAGCTCCATCTCAGCTCAAATCCACTGAACTTCGTCCATCTCTCGCTATTGACCCATTCCGCCGGGCTGCACTTCCACTCCATCTCAATCCTGCTCAATGCTCCCTTCACGATGTCCTTGGCCCCAACCACCATGAAGTCATCCACATAGACCCCAATGAATCCCTTCGGAGGCGGTTCCTCCTGATCCAGCGGTCGTCTCTCCACAATCTTCCAAAGGTTGGGTTCTGGCGTCTCCCGAAGCTCCAACGTCCTCCCTTCATGTTGCCATTGAAAGGACCTCATCAGCCGGTTTCGATAGGTAGCCCAGTCCGCCGGCGAGGATCGAAGTCCATAGAGGGCGTGTTGAACCCGCCATAGTTCCTGAGGTCCCACAATGCCCGCCTCCACCAAAATGCGTGGCGGTTTCACCACTACCAATCTTCGACTGGAGTCTTCCCTGGGTGCCAGAAGGAAAGCCGTCTTGACATCGCAAGTGGCGATCTCCCAGTTCATAGCCGCCGCCTTTCGTAGAAGACATCGGATGGTTGTTCCGTCAGCTCCGCCGGCATACAAGTTCTGGGCCTCCTCCCTTCCCGAGGTTGCTGCACCACTGCCATCTAGAGCCTCCAACCTATTGCCGCAGACTACAATGCGAGCCCGCTTCTTCCCATGTGGTGCCTTGATGGTCGGAACCAACATCCCCGGCGCCACCTCCATCACCTCATACAATGGATCCTGCTCCAACTCTTCCATGGTCGTCGGGCTCAATGCCCTAGTTCCTTCAATCAAGGACTGGTACTCGTCAGTCATCGGAGGTACCCACGCCGCAAGCTCCTGTCGGACTCGTTGAAGGGGAACTGCATAGGTCTGCAACACCGCCGGTGGAGGAGCTCCAGGATCCTGTAACTCCAAACCTGCTTCATTCTTCACCGCAGCCAACCTCACCGACTCCAGCTTACGATGTTGGTCCTCCAAATGATCCTCTTGTACCAACAGTCCAGCTTCCAATGCAGCCATCCATCGCCCTCTCTGTCTGCCCTGCTCTTCTCCAATGGCCTGATGGCGCAACTCCTCACTCCATAACCTCTTCATCAGCAAGTGCGACCTCACCTCCATGGCGTGCCACTCCTCAGCTTGATCCCAAGAACAACTCGAGCCCTTCCATAGACCTCCAGTCCGACGTTCTCGGTAGTCGTCCACATACTCCAAGTTGCCACCACAGAACCCACAGGAAATCTGCGTCGCCTCCACCAAGTCCAGCGTACCTTCCACCGCCGCTTGCATGGAGCTCATCACCACCCCGCAGCCGCGAATGTCCCTTGGATCCTCAATCGGGACTTGGTGGGGGTGCCGGGGTTGAAGGAGTCCACAATCTCCACAACACACCATCGCCAGCTCCCCAAGGCATTCCCAAGCTCTCCACCCCGACTGCTCTCCTTCCGACTCCGGCTCCATCTCATCGACCACCTCCTCGACATCCTCCTCATCGTCCACAAACTCCAGACCACCACCACTGAAGTCCCGCTCCAACTCCTCCAGGTAGTTCCTCAGCGGCCCGGAGACTTCCAACTCCACGCCAACCACCTCTTCTTCTCCATCTCCCCCGACCATTTGCTCCATTGATTGATCGGTGGAGTCCATCATGCCATTCACAACCTCTCCAGGTTGCCATACCGACAGCGAGTTCAATGGTGTAGATTCCGGATTTTCCAAAATTGGTTCCAAAGTTGGTTCAGTGGTCTCCCCCCCAGCTCGTAGTACCCGAAGAGCTGGTCGGACTTCTGCATCAAAATGTCGAGCCACCACATCTTTTAGTGGGTGCGGGTCGAATGACTGTTTCCCTGTTAGTCGATGTCTGATGCCCTTGTCCTTGAGGTCCACTTCCTGCAGCTCCAGCACCGCTTCCAAGGTTTTCGAAGGGGTCACCACCGTCCGAAGATGCTGAATTCTATTCTGTTTGTCCTTTGCCACCCAACCCGATGACATCAACGGACTTGGTCCCAACACCTGCACTCTCTTGAACGGGTTGGTCAGCTCTCCCGTTTTGTGATGCCATCTTTTGGCCTTAGCCATGACCATTGATCCAAAATTGACCATTGGCTTTGATCCCACTCCCAGCCTCTGAAGTTGTAGGCGTAGTCGTTGAGTCGCAGCATGCCTCAATGCACATGGCCACAATGACGCCTCCACCTTGCTGGTGTGTAGGAGGAGCCTCATCCTTCGTTTGAGCTGCAGGAGCTCTGCTTCCACCCTGCCATTTGACTGGCTATCATCACCCGAGGTCATCGTGTGAACCATCTCCCTGGCCTGCACCCACTTTGCCACTGCCTTCGTGAGGAAGGACTTCTCCCGGTCCGAGTGCAGCCGGCATGGCCGCACTCCCAGCATCCTGTAGTGAGCATGGACCTTGGAGAGCGCCTGCACGATGTCCTCCACCGCTCGAGATTGCATCGGCTCTGCAATCGTGAGGTTCTGAAGTGGAACCTCTTCCTGAGCTCGCTCCAGCGCAGCCTTCATGTTCAGCTCAGCCACTTGTTCCTCTGTCGCCAATTCCACTTCCTCTTTCTCCTCTTCAATCTCCACCACATTCTTGACCTCCGACTCATGGTCCAGTGGTTCCTCTGGTGCCCCAGCTAGATCCTTCACTATCGGCACCGGGATCGTCGCCACCATCACATACCTGCACCACTGGTTCAAACCAAGGTCTCTCCCCTGCTCAAACGGACCCATGATGTCCACCGCCATCACGAAGGCAGACGAGGCGTTTCTGGAGCGTCGATGTGGGCTGGAGAATCCCATTGCTTCCACACAATCCCGACAATCTCTCCTGTAGGGAACGTGCTCTTGCTTGATGTGCCTCTTCCATTCCTCAACATCCATCTTGGCCAATCCGATGTGAGCTCTCCCCCCAAACCGAAGATTCAAGGCCAGTCCAATCGCCTTCACCAGCCCACTGGACCACCGCGCCCACGACCGAGATGCTTTCATTCTCTCCTGTAGCCCTCCCTCCACTGGGTCAGCCGATCCTCCTCCCCTGAGTCCATTCAGATCTTCCAGGTGACGAAGGTTGGTCAGCAAACTAGTGGGTTTTCGCCGGGAGTGCCCCGTTCGTCCTTGGTCGAAGCTAACCAAGCTCATTCCATACTCGTCCACCATTCTCCTCAACAATGGCCATTCAAAGAAAGATGGGTGATCATGCCCGGCATCGACTCCATCTCCCACATAGCTGGCAGGGTCCTGCGGAGATTCCAGAAGAAATGCCACCGGATCAGGTCCTTCCCGATGCTCCTCCGCCAGGTGCCATAGCCCCACCTGCTTCACCACCAGTGCGGAATCCCCTCGCACCTGTTCACGTTCCCGGGCCGTTAGCCCCTCCAGGCCCCAGCGATCATCGCCACGACCTCTCACTCTCCTCGGTCCTGGCGGCCCCTTGCACCTCAATCTGCTCGTGGTACGACAAGGCGGACCCCCAACCACTCCTTTCACCTTCCCGGATCTGGCCAGCGAGCACACGTAGCTCCACACATTCGCATTGTGCACATTGAAGCCATCTCCCAACTCCAAATCCAGGAAAATCCAATCCATATCATCGGGCAGTGTGCCTTTCCACCTCCCTGTATCCGCTCCAGAGAAAAGGTGAATCACCAGGCCACGACTTCGCTGATGTCGACGCCTCTGACGTCTATTCCAAGGCAGCAGCTCTGGGCTCGGTTCACTCGAAAACCCAACCATCATCTCCAGCACGTCCTCCGGCACGTCCGGCATGATGCTACGCCACCAATTCCAGTCCACTTGGGACAATCTCTTCCGATTCTTCTGGTTCTCTTCAAACTCTGCCAACATCACCATGGCGTCCTTTCGATTCATGACAGGGCACCCCGATCTCAGCCAACACTTCACAGCTCCAAGCTGCTGGTGCATGATCGTGCAACCCTGCCCATTCCAGTGAATGGCATACCCATTCTCCACCAGCAGACTCAGCGGCAAGATCGGCTCCACTGGCTCCAGGGACAAGAGGGTGTCAAAGTCCGGGTGCTTGTACAAAGTTGTACATCCATGGGCAAGCTCCACCGTCACAGGCTGCAACCTCCCTCGCTCCTCCTGTCTTGCCATTCTCAATGGGTGAGTAGCTCCACCATCCAATAATGCTAGCTCCAAACCCTCATTGGTATCTGCCACATGAATCTGCTTCAATCTGAAGGTCTTCATACTGCGGAGGGACTTCAAGAGGGATGTGGCCTCAGTGATCAGCTCCGACGTCGGATCACCCACTATCCCGTCCCTTTTCTCCTCCACCTGCCACCGGCCGTGTAGCCGCGGACAAAGAGCTCGTCAATGAAGTAGTTCCTGACTTTTCATTCGGGCCAGTCTCCTCCTTCTCCGACGTCCCTTTCCCACTTCCCTTCAACTTGGCCGTCTTTTTCCCATCCTTCTCCGGTCGTTCCCGACCATACGGACAGTCCTTCGCAAAGTGGTTCTCCCCGGAGCAGTGAAAACACCTGCCCGTCTTGTTGATGCCCTCCCAGGCATGGGCGAAAGTACAGGTCTCTCCCCGCTTGCACCCACCAGTCGTACCCCAGTAACGGCATGGATGTTTCGTCTTTGGTGGTCCATCTCCGCCTCCGCTTCCTCCACCCAAGGCCTTAATCGTTGGCTGAGCCCCGGCTGCTGGCTGAAGGACTGCTCCGGAGCCAGTAGTCTTGGCCGACGAAGGATGTGGCATAGTCAACGCCAAATCTTCCGCTTCAGCCTGGAGGAACTCCGCAAACTCCTTGGTGGTAGTTAACGTTGGCCTTCGATCGACCTCCAGTTCCTGCCGAGCTGCTGCAATCCTGAATCCCACTTGGCTTCCTCCATGCTTCGTGAGATTCTCTGCCACCTTGGACAAGGCCTGAATCAAGACCATCGAATCCGGGATTGCTACATGCAATTCTTCAGCTCGACAAATCCACCTGCGCCAGGTTCGAATGGCACCCAGTGTGTCCTGGATAGAGCTGCCACACTTCACCTCCGTCAGGCTGCGCAACAGATTTCCCCTTTCTGCATTTCCACCAGGTTGGTAGATGGTGAAGAGCTTGTACAAAATCGCCTGAGTCACCACTCGTCGACTTGCCACAATGTCCTTTCTCACCGGTTCCGGGAGCGCAGCTAGCAAAGTCGAGCTAGCCCGCTGGTCCAATCGTTGGAACCGTGGGGACACCTGCTCCTCCACCTTGATTCTCAACCGCCCCAATGGCGTCGCCAAAAGCCACTCATTGTACTTCACCTCCACTTCTCGCTGCACCCAATCCCAAAACTCGCGAGACGACGTACTGAGGTCTCCCATCAACGGGGAAATCACCGTCAGCCAGTCCCCAAAGAGCAGGGCCGCATTCTCAGTCGAAGGTGATGGCAACTGTGGCAATTCCAAATTCCGCATTGCCTCAGGTAGGGCCGCTGTCACCGATTCCATCGGCTTCATCCCATTCACCGCCCCATTCAATCCATTTCCATGACCTCGAAGATCGGGTACTGGAGCGAGACCAGGAGGAGTATCAGGTGCTCCACCAGGCTTAGCATTCTCTCCCATCGGCTCTTGAGGTCCTTCCGCCTTCGCACTCGGCACCGACGTGAACGATGCTGAATCTCCAGCGTCCGTCATCTTCTTCACCTCCCGAGCAAAGGTCTCCTCGGCCTCCCTCAAGATGCGTTCTCGAAGACGTTCCACTTGTCCCAGGCCCGGACTCGGCACAGGAGGTTGGCTTCTCGTTACCTCGGACTCACGCACGTGTGACTCACCCTTGGCCGCTTGCTGCACTGAAGCACTCCAAAAAGGATTCACCGTCCCTAAAGGTCCCACCGGCGTGGTAGGATAGGGCTCCAGCACCCGAGGGTGTACATCATCACGTCCTGCTCCAGCCATATAAGGTGATGCCCCACTGCGCTCCATTTCCACCCCGCTCTGCCGCAAGGGAGTACCAGCCGCCAGCCCGTGCCCTGCGAGAACTCCGTATCCGGTACCAGCATGACCTCCATGATCACCGGGCCGAAGAAGAGGATCTAGTAGGGTAGGTTGGGAACTTGGCCTTTGAAGAGCATGTTGCAACACTTCAAATGACTGCCGAACTGCCTCCTGCAAATGCCCAAGCCCCATCACCTGGCCTCTTGGGTCATTCAACAGCTGTCGAACTTCCTGTTGTCCTTGGTGACCACTCGATGCGGCCACCGCCGGAGGGCCTCCCTGGCCTGATCCAGCCCCAGCAGCTGCTCCCAGCCGCTTCATCTCCGCTGCCCTCACAGGCACTGATTGCGCCCTCATGGCCTTGCCCTGCAGCTCCTCCTCGATGAGCGCATCCAATCGGCGGTCAGCCACACCAATCTCCACCGGTGGAGCCGCTGCCTCTTTCCGCTCTCGAGATCGTTGCTGCCGGCGTCTTCGTTGTTCCATGGGGACCAACACTTCCCCGTCCTCGCGACGGTGGAAGGTGGACTTGGAAAATCCAAAAAAAAAACGATCACTTTGGGCTCATAACCTGTGGTTATGAAATGGGATGCCCAGCGCGTCGGGCCTTTTCAACCTTGAGCCAAAGTAAGACGAAAACACTCGTAGCGCTTGGCTTTCTACGAGGTGTGGTTGTACACCTTTTGATTTGTGCACTTCATGAATCACACATTCATTTAGTCCGAAGTCACCCATCTTTTTTGGGCCTTTCGACCCGACGAGTCGGTCTACCCAGCATGGTCATCAGCGAGGGGTAGACGAGTCGGTCTACCGCCGATCCACTGGCGATCCACGACCGACACGAAGTCCCTGCACCCTCCGACCCGACAGGGGTGCACTACCCCACACGACCGGCTTCCTAGGCTCACAGGGTAGTCTTGGACAGGGTCGGAAGGTCCTGGTACCTTGTGATATTTTGCTCTTCTGTTTTTACTTCACGTTTCTGGTGGCATTGGGACTCCTGAATCCAGGGTCCCACACGAAATGGACCAAACCCAAACCAAACACATCCAACAAAACGATCGAGTCCCATCGCTAGGGTGGAAACCATCGCGTTTTTAGCTTGGAGGCCATCTCTAGTGGGTTAGAGGCCGTCCCTATTAGGTTGGAGGCCATCGCTAGTAGGTTGCAAACTATCGAGTCTTCTTGATTCCGATTCCCTGGTCCCCCACCCTCCGTGTTCGTCGCCGAATGCGCCTGGCCAAGGAGATGGGGGCATCACCTCGAAGGCGGCCATAGAATCTGAATGACTTACTTCATCCAAGCCCCCACTGGCTCCACGACCCAACTCCACTGGCCCAACTCTCCGCTGAGCTGCCCCACGGAGCTCTTGGCACACAGGCTCTCCGGTGGCCTTCCACTCGACCTGGACGCGAATGGGCGGCATTCTCCGGGGCACGAAGAAACACGGACAGCCTGTGCTGGCGCAAGCTGCGCGACCGCTGTGCTCGTATTACGGAGGGATTGGTTCAAACAACGCGCGGTAGAACGGTGAACGGAGAAACTAACGAACTCTACGAGCACCGACTTAAGAAATTTTACCGTTGTTGTCGATGGTTTGCGAAACGTTGGTGCAATTCAGTACTCGTCGGCCTGTTGGTCTGTACACATCAGGCAACCAGTCTCAGGGTCCATTCCAAGCTCTTCCTGCGAGGTCTGAGATTGCTTTGCAGAGTCACTTGGATTGCTCTTTGTCCCTGACTCTCTCAAGCATTGCTGTTGCAGTGGTCTTAGATCGGAGAACAATCCTTGAACCACCATGACCTCTCCAGCATTCAAGCACAATGCTACCAAGGGCTTGTTTCCCCTTTGCTCTCAATCTCATCAGATGAGATGTGGCCTCAAACAAACACCCCATCAATTTCCTGCTTGTCATCAAATATCTCGCTCGAAAAGGGCCACAGTGTCGTTAAAGAGGTGTTTTATACAGTGAGAACTTCCGCGCGCACACCTCTGAAAACTGATGGCACAGCTGCTTGCCAAGCTCAATGGCCGCTGGAAACAGAAGGAACGTCGTGAAGCTCATTTCGTGGTTTTCGCCCCAGGAACCGCTGGAGATGCACTTGAATGCTTCAGCCACTCTTGGCGTCAGCCTCGCTTCTACGCGTGCAAGGGATCCAACCTGAGGGTCATGTGGATGTGGATCTGTCCACCGGGAGGCACACTTCATCTGTGAAATCCTAGTCGTCTCCATGAACAAGAAAGCACCGGGTTGTCAATGCAAATGCCGGCTGGTCTAGTTCCTGCTTGTGCATTCTCAAGCAGGTCTGGAGCAATTTCTCTCTTCCCAACCGATCTTCTGCGCAAAAGCACACGTGGGAGGAGGAAGCAATCTCGTATGCCTGCCACTGCCCCAAAAAGTTTATCAAGTCTTGGCTTTCCCTCGCGAGCAAAAAGCGGCTGCACTGCCTTACTTTTGACATTTGCCGCAAGTTGTAAATAACTCGGCTTGAATTAGTAGGTCAAACCGTAACATGTCGAGGACGCTCAAAGACGCGGTAAAACAGTAAATCGGACAATGTAGCAAATTTGCCGATTGACCGAGTTTACCGACGAAGCAACACCGATTTTACACACATGATCGAATTCACCAAATTTATCTTTGCCCGGACCAGTGTAACCTCTATGCTGAACCATGCGGCGAGCCGGCTGAGCTTTTCTTGAAGCATGTCAAAAATGCTCGTTGACACCTCAACAAGATCTAACACGTATTCCAGGGACATCTCAGAAACATGTAAAACAATGTAGAACATGCCAAAACATGCCAAAACACCTCCCTCACCCCCAGCTGTGCTCAGCGCTACCGAGCCACGTGATCACGGTGTGGCAGCCCATCCTGACGCGATGGAACCGGCTCCAAATCGCTTGAACCGGGGGTGCTCCATCCAAATAGCAAGTGGGTATTCAAGTGTCTTAAGGTTATGGTTTGTCTTTCTTTACTTTTGCCGGACTTTTTTGGGGTGGATGGAGGGTGGTTTTGCAGTGGTTATAGTTATGGTTTCTGTCCGGATTCTTTACATAATTTCATTTGGCCCTTCGGAAGGCAGCTTTCCTCCAAGAGCAGGGCCTTGTTGTTGGCAAAACTGTCGGAAAGTTGCTCACATCTGGCGGAGTGTACTGACTTTCTGGGAAAAAGGACTTGCAGCTTGCACACAAAAAACATCCACATCACATGGCAGATGGTGGTCTGTCTTTTACCAGATTGCCCAATCATCTCTTGGGATACAAGCGCAGAGCGTCCACCCGATGCCCGCTTTCGGCACCCAAATCCTCCGCCGAGGCGCCACAATGGTGCACAAGGACCACAAGTAGAGCCTGCGGGGTTGTGAAGGAGACCACGTGGCAGAAATCATGTTGACATAGGATCAAGTCACCTCCCACAATTCATCAAGACCATCTCGAGCCCCCAATGCTAAACGAATTGAATCCAAGGGGACCAATCAACTCCTCAACCTCGCAGGTGCTCCCGTGCACCATAGCGATCCATCGGAGATTCAAGTTCGGAAGAGCCACAAGAAGACCGATTCAGGTGGAGAACTCGTTTACTTTTCAAACACACCTTTTTCACACCTTTCCTGCAGAAGAAAGAACTCAAGTACGTTTTTCCCCCCCCTTTTCGGAAGCATCACACCCCACCCCATTGGTTCTTCGTCCTCCGGATGAAGTTCGCGAAGGGGCAATCGCGCACGGACCAGTTGTGATCCGAAAAGGCCACCGCGTAGTTCAGCCAAATCCTCGGAGCCCACCGGTCGCATCGGAGGGTGTCCCACTGGGTGTCCCAGGGCGGGTGAGGGTCGCATCGAGGAGGTCTACAGAGGTAGCCAGTGACCTGAACTAGGACCCTACAGGGGTACCTATAGGATAGTCTACAGGGTTCTTCAGCCTCTGCTGGGGGTGTTGGAAATCGACCTTCTTCACAAAGGTCCATGTTCTTTCACCAAATGGGAACCTTTTTGGGGGATACCAACCCGACGTGGCCGAACGAGTTGCACGCACATCTGCGGGGCGAGGATTGGTCACTCGCGCGTGGCAAAACCGGTAAGGACGTGGCAAAGGCCACGGTTTTTGGCACCACGGCAGGCATCGTCAGCTTCGCAGAATGCTGGCGAAGTCAGAGTGCCCTCGGTTGGGTCACCCACAGCACTACTGGGTGCTCTTTCATGCAAGCAAGGCCGTGCCACACTGGCATGAAGCTCAAGGATCTACCTGACCAAGAAGTTGGCGACCATGTGTGACTGTCATGGCAAGCTCGTGGCATCAAGCTGTGGGTATGCAAAAGCGAGTTCACGGATGGAACGGAGTTCGAAAGAGTCTTCACACCAGGCGATGGAATACTGCTCGTGGCTTCCTGGCATTGACACTGGATGGGCATCGTTTGTCCTGGTTGGAACAAACTACCAGCCATCGCAGAAGTGTTCTGAGAATATGAACGGCTGCATATTGGTGTCGATCAGCAACGCATCCACCCACTGGCCCTGAGACAAAGGCCTCCCAGCAGAATGTTCAAACATATAAAAGGACTTGGGGTGTGCCCCCAAGGGACTCTTCACTTCAGGTAGCTATTTCAATGACAGTGGGGAGAGCTGTGTGTTGCCCAAATTGCAGGATTTTATGGTGAAACATTTGCTTCAAACCAACGGGATCAACGGGTGAGCAAACATCTAACTTCTCAATCTTCTACATAGCTTCTTTAGAACGTTGAAGGGGTCCCCATCATATTCCCTTCACAGACCCCCACAAAAGATTTGGAGCGACCCCATCTCCTCATCTCCCCTGTTCTCCACCTCCACCTCCATCCACACCTCCACCTTGGGATATACCAGGGCTCAGTGGAAAATGCTGATTAGTTGGCTTGCAGGCACTCTTGCAGGCCATTCTCGAAATCGTGCTCCTCTGTGACCGAACTCGTCTCCACTAAAAACCCACCCACCCCCCCCCCCCCCCCCCCCCCCCCCCCCCCCCCCTGTGCGCTCCCAAGGCGCTGGAGGTCGCCCAGTTGCTCCTCGTCGGTCTCGGACTGAAACCTCTCCACGACCGGTCCGTGAGACCCGGTCCGTGTGGTCTGCGAGACGGTCGGAGATGATCATCCAATGATCCGTGGTCGGTCCTTCAGTGGCCGCTGGCGGTGACCAGCAGTCTTCACGGTGGTTTTTCTCGCGAACCGCAGACCACGCCCCAAAGGTGGGCGAGCGGAACACCCACACGTCGCCGGGCCCGGTGGACCATCGGAGCTGCTCCCGTTCGCTCTGTGCTTGCAAGAGCAAACTGTCAAGGCCCAGCCGCTCGGCATTGAAAGACGAGGAAGATCTATGAATGATCCGAGATCACATGCGGGGCTGGGGAGATGATAGATGATTAAGCACGTAGATGGAGAAGGCCATGACTCCTCCTTCAACTGTTGATTCACATCTCAACCAGAAACCCAAAGAGACCGGTCCGCCAAGCTGGCCATCCGCCCCGCCCCGCCCGGCCTGACTGCGCCAAACTCCGGGAAGAAGTTCAGGCTCCCCACGAAGTTTTGCTTCAATTCCTCAGTGGCATCGCGACTCGAACGGAGCGATCGGACGTGAACCGAACGGGGCTCCTGGCCTTACTACTAGGAGCAAGAAGCTACTCAGAGCGATCGGACGCTACTAGGACTCTCCGTTGACGACATGCACCCTCCGTGAACCGAATTCGATCCCCACCCTGTCTTCTCGAAGGACCATCGTCTGACAGCGTCTGCGTTTTGGAGATGTTAGTTTGATGGCACTGTATGAACTTTACTTCTTTGGATTCATATATGACTTCATCTGGACCAACACAAATCTTTCCTGATCTGTCCGAACGCGATCCTACGCTCCGACCGGCGAGCGCAAACACCAACCTTGGTCGTCCCACTTCTCAGGTCCAGCGGTCTTCCGTGAGTTCACACGGTGACCGGTCCGCGGTTTTCGAGGACCTCACAGGCCCCTGTTTTGAGAGGAAGAGGCAGACCATATTTTGGGCGTTTGGTGGTCCAGAAATAGAGGTGACTCAGGTTTGGTTGGAACATCCTTTCTTCTGCGGCCATCATTCCTAGTTATAGTCCCGTAACGGAAGAGAAGAAGAGAACATAGGCCTTTTGTGGCCTTTTGGAGCCTCTCAGGTCTTTCTTGGAGGATGCGCATGGATGACTCAGATCGCGGATGGCAGAAAAAGCGCCGAGGCTCATACCAGTCCTCTGGCAAGAACTGGCACTCATAGTCTGGCAACTGCACTTCTGGGCGAAAGCTGTGAAAGCCTGGCGGGCTGGCGACCAACCAAGCGGATCTGAAAGCCGAGGGGGTGGACTCTGGACGTCGTGCTCGAGCAGTCACTGCTCAAAGATCCATCTCCGACAGAATTCCATCACTACAGGCGGAACAGGTTGGACACAATACGAGGACCACTTCGATTCACTGCCTTTGGACGCAATTACTTCAGATCAACATGCCAAACTACTATATACATTCATTGATTTTGCTATACATCATACACATTACTATTTTTCATAATAGTAAATCATTTATTTATACATGTTGCGCACACACACATATATAATATAATATAATATAATATCATATAATATAATATAGTATAATATAGTGGTACTATTCTGCACGTTTCTGCCGTTACTAGACTTTATCCCAACAACTTGGCTCCTTTCACCTGCCAGGAATCCTCCCTGTCTCCGTTGACGGAATTGTCATCCCGTCTCGGCCCTCGCCTGGAATCTCCGGGTGCAAGGAAGGGGTTCCCCCCGACGGAAGCGGAAGGATTCCTCCCTCGTCTGGCTCGGCGGAGACGAGTGCAAGCCATGGCAGGAGTGCAAGCCATGGCTTCGCGCGCATGGCGCATGGCGCGGGCTGAGCTTTTGTTCGTTTGATGGGTCTCTCCTTCTTCCATGACAACAATATTGCGTCTTCTCCAAGTTGCTGGGATTGCTATCAGCTGGTTTTCGTCACTGATTGGTCAGGTTGAAGGTGAGGCAAATGACCTCGTGGACCGAAGCGGCCTCTTTTTTCACACCAAAGAGCGGGTTCGGACCAAGACTATTTAAGCTTCCAAGATAAAGCGGTGGTAGTTCACCATCCTATTGATGCTTGTTCCAAGGATGATTTAGATCTGATTTCTTCATTCTTTTTGAGGTTGAATCTTTCCGCACTCATGATCGACAAAAATCTATTCCCTGATCATTGAACGATTGGGTTTGCTGTTCAAAACGCTTGGGGAAACAATGTCACACCGTTAAATCCATGGCAGTTGCAGGGATTCTTGCCCTCTCCATTTGAAGATGGCTCGCAGAAGGAGCCAGAAGCTGAAGGCCAAAGTTGCACTGGAAAAGAATGTATAGGACGCTACTAGGAGCAAAGGGCATCGCTACTAGGAGCAAGAACGCTACGAACGGGGCTCCTGGCCTTACTTCTAGGAACAAGAAGCTAGTAGAAACAATATGCACATGGAGCATGACATGGAGGAGACGCTCTCAGCTTCGACCCCCACTGGCCCAGTTGCCATGTCTTTTGGAACGAAGCAAGCGACCCATGTAGGTCTGGGTGCTAAGCAGCTAATGCTCCAGGGCTTGTTGCTTCCCATCATCTGTCGGTCCAACAAAGCCCCCATCCCAACCCCCTTGAGTGTTGAGCGAGGGAAGTCGAATCCCAACCCCTTGAGTGTTTCCCTGCGACTCGAAAGCACAGCTTCCATGTGCTTCCCTTCTCCCACATTGGGGGCACCGCATTGGGCACATCTGTATTCTGCTATTGGAGGAAGAGTTCCACATACCACTGGCTTACCGCTGGCACCTGAGATCCGCATTTTGGCTTCCAAATATTCGGATTTCAGTTCCGGTACAGTCAGTGCTACAGTCTTTGCTCACTCCGACCTCCACAGATCAGGTTTTCAGCACGACCGACCTCACAGTGGCCCTCCTGGCGTCCGACCCGAACGGCGGACGCTGTGCGCCCGCCGAACTCGCTCTCCACCCGGACCGGGGGTGGTCTTCGGGCCGAAAAGGGTGAGCCCACAAAGCAGTTCAGAAAGCACCAACAACAAAGGCAAAAGGAATTTCATTCATCAAATGGTGTTTTTTTTTGGCTTTTCATATGTTCTTGTACGTTCTTGTTCTGTCTCTTTCTCTTGTTTTCAATCGATTTAGGTCGAGATTTTTGCACCAGGTCCTTTTGGTTCAAATCACATCTTTCATGGAATCCCGTGTCCACCAAAGACAGTGGGTCGTCCGTTGCGCGATTGCGACGGTCGTTCCCAGGTGGTGCCCTTCAACCATTGAAACGAGAAGAACTGGCATGCCATCCTGCACATGTCCCAGCTCCTCCCTGGTCAACCACATCCACTGGTGCAGATCTTCCTTCCGGTCCGGCATCCAGTGCCGTGCAGAAAGGATCCCCATCGAAATTGGATTAAATTGGTGTCCCTGGGTCACAATAACTCATAGATCGTTGAACGTGGACCATTTCAAGACCCTTCTCCTCTGCTTTCATGGGCAATTATGTGTAAGCTGTCAGCAGAGTCTGTAGAGTTCTCGAATCTCACCTTCTCCCCTTGTCCAACTTGGTCAACTCCCTCCTGCGAAATGTCGCACTCTTGGCTGTTTTGCTTTGCACGTGTCGCGAAGCACGTTGCGTGGGCTGCATCAATGTGCAGGGGCACGCTGTGGCGCGTCCCAGTAGTTCTGGCGAGAGCAAAATGGTCAGCAAATCTCACATGAAGTGCTTCCCTCAACACGCACTCTTTGATGGACTTCACTACACACTTCGACTGCGGCACCTATTCGGTACCCTGGTTTGCACCTTAAATGTGACTCCCCGACCCCATAGGACCTGAGGTCCTCCGGAACCACCGCAGAGTTCCCCCGACCCAACCCGGACGTGGGACTGGGTCCGAAGGGCGGCTTCTGCGGCTTCCGAGCTTCCAGCGGTGTCCCAACAAAGGCGAAACGTGGGGGGGGAGGAGGGAACATGATGAGGGCCACGAACCAACATTTTTTTGGCCATGAATTTAGATGGAGCAATTCAATAGCTCGAAAGACGGACTCCGGAAGACAGGGCCATTTCTGTTTGCACACCACACCATCGAACAAATCCTTCCAGTGAAGTGCGGTTGAGTCAAGTCTGCTGTTCAGCGCGTTCAGCGCGCGTTCAGCATGGTGTCCTGCAACTGTGACGGACCATCTTGATGGATGAAACATCATGACATATCATGAATCATGACATCAATGTCCTCCGCCCTTCGAGCCCTCTCCTGACGCCCTTGGGCTCCATCTTCGAGCCCTGATTCGACATCCAAAAATAACAGCAAAGTCCAGTCCCGAAGCTTCACTGACCTTCTTCAAGCGCCGAACACCGGCTCTCACCCTCGGCTTCGCCCGGTGAGTCGTGCCCAGCCCCAAAACCGACCGAGGGACGGCAGGAATCTGCGGGGACGCGCAGGGCCGCTGGCGACATAGATGGACGTCCACAAGAAGCAGCTGGTGACTGATTAGTTGGTAAGAAGGGCAGGCATTCATTGGCCGGTAATTGATACTTTCATGATCAGTATCAAACCTAGTGTCAGACGAACAGAGTCCGCCGGCGAAACCTGCCACGCAAATTCCTCCATCCCCGCGAAGCTAACTTGCAAAACCGATAGCGTTTGGCGCAGGGAACAGGCATTTGGTTGTGCCTGTGATTTCAGCTCACGCTTCACATCAAAGATTTGAACAAAGATGCATCATCGCCGGGAAGTACACCAAAGACTAATATAGCACCCCAGTTCAACACTGGTTTGTCAAACGAATACTCTTTCAGTGCCCATTTCCAGGTTCTATATGTGGTTTTCCAAAGGATATAGGCTGGCGGCTAAACCACATGGCTGAGTGAAGCGTTTGACACCAATTCTAGAGGATACACTTCAAGCGTGTTTCCACTTCAAACACCACCAAAAACCGTCCCTCTCGCTCGTCTCTTCACAATCTGTGCGTCCGTAGAGGGCCGCGCGTGCGAGGCGCCTAGAAAAAACAATGAGGAAGCTGCTTCCATCGGTGAACCACTTCAATGGCCGCCTCCCAACTCGGGTACCCACTACCAGCGAAATCACCGGTACCAGCGGCCGTCGAAACACCGGTGAGTTCCTTGATCTTCGAGAAAAAGCGTAATCACATTCACCCAGAAGTAGAGATGTTCGATGGTGATGACGTGACGAAATCCATCTACGCGGCCGGGCGATGAAGTGGAATCGGGATAGGTGAAAATAACATCTTGCCAGGTGTAGCGTAAATCTATCGTAAACCTCCTTAACTTCGTAGTCTGTTTATTCCGTTTCCAAATGAGTCAATCAGGATGCAGTCCTAAAAATCATCCAAATGCCCAACAGATCTGACACCGGGCATCATCGCGCTGTCTAAGAATTCCCTTTTGGAGGTCGGACCGTAAATCTCAGGACCGGCCGGTCCAAGTATTAGAATTCTAATTAATAGCTTCTTGTTACTACTAGTAAGGCACTTGTTACTACTAGCGATGCACTTGTTCCTACTAGCAAAGGTAGTAATTAGTGTTTTTGTCTTTCTGAAAGACCAGTCCAAGGCGACTTCGCCTGTCCAGGGCCTTGTGCAGCTCTGACTTCGCGAGAACCGAAAGCGACGAACGCCGAAACATCATGAAGCCATCCACACCGAAAGAATCCCTTCCAAACACCCGGGATGTTCGCGTGAACCCACCAACGGAAGGATTTGGGGGGCAAACACCTGATTCCGACCAATTCCTTTACAAGCGTTTTGATGTATTTTTCCAAGAAGCTACTAGGTTGGAGGCCATCCCTAGGCCCTATTGGTTTCCAGGTTTCGTCTGACAGGTCTGGAGGCTATCCCTCTTTGCCAACTTCCTCACGCCCAAAAAATTCGCCCAAAGACCACCCCCACCGACCGGAGACGCTGCATTTGGCGGTCTTCCAAAAGGCAGGTGTTGGTGGAATTGGTAGCAGTTGGGCTGGGGACCCTTTCGTTCCCATCTCGGACTGGTTCCGGATTGGTCCTCCAGCCCTTAGGCACGTTGCTGGGTCATCCAGCGTTCGTGGCGTTCTTTTGGTGCGAATTCGGTGGGTCGTTTTGTGCGTCCCATTTCAGCGGCTATTTCCGAACCGCTCTCAACAGGCAGAACGCTGTCCACGATATTCCGCAACCAAGGTGGACTGCTCGAAAAAAGACGCAAGACGCGGACTCTGTCTGAGAGACCGTGTGAAAAGCTCCAAGACATGTAAGACTATCATCACAGTTCCTGAAGCTTTACACAGTTTTGATCATGGTTTGGTATCCAGCTTGAACTCCGAGGTCTCTGTCCCTTAATGTAGACTCTTGACGAGATCTCAACCCCCCAAGCTTGAAGAGGTTGTTCAATCCATGTCTCAGGGTTTTGCTCATCCTCTGTGTCTACATGAAGTAGCAAGCAGCTACTAGGTTGGAGGCCATCGCCAGAAGTAACAAGAAGCTGCGATTGTAGCAAGGAGGTGGCCCTTGGAAGGCTTCGTCGATTTCCGTTTCCACCGTCTCGAGGGTGTCAAACCTCCACCGCAGTGTATCGGCGGAGGATCCCGATTTCTCGGCCTGGTTCTGGTTGGTAAGACCAAACGGTCGTTCACACAGGTTTGTTTTCAGATATGTTCAGTAATTTGATCAGGGCAGGGTAGCAGTTGCCAAGAGGTGTCTAAAAACGAGCAAAAACAACCTTTCTGCCCACAAGAACCCAGTTCACGACTACACATGCAAGCAGGATCGTGGGGTCAGCTCTCAGCCTCTCAGCCGCTTATTTGGGGGACGCACCATTTGTTTTGAGGAAATTGGACGAAGAACATGATGAAAAAACTTGCCAGATCCTGCCAGTGTCTATATCAGCTTCGGGAATATCCAAATGATGTAGATACAACCAGACCCCTCACCAGCTTCATCTCGTTCGTCTGCAACAAGGCGAAAGGCTCAAACGTGGATCCCTTCCAAACCAAGCCGGGATCAACCTCACCGTCTTCTTGGAATCCCGCTTCACAACAGGACATCCATGCTGAACCGGAATCCGAAAGACTTCGTTTTGCCATGCTTTGCCCATGTCTTGCCTTTATCCCGTCCGCTTGGGCGCCGTTTTCCGTTGGGAACATCGGAACCTAAACCATGCACCAGAGCATCAAACTGAGTGCCCGCACCGACCAGGCGCCAAGCTGCAGAACCAGCGCGCGTCGCATATCCTTTGACTTTCGAAAAAAAACATAAACATAAAAAACACCTCAAAACCTCGTCACATCGATGTTCGTGCGTTGGATTCTGGAATCCCGCTACGAAGCAAACAACAACCGTCTTCGATCCTTGGTTCTGCATCTCCGCCCGGATGGTGCCGACCTGCTCTGAGAAAGGACCATGCAGCGTGAATTCAAAGCGACTGGTGCGTGGGGACTGGTCTGGCGAAAAGACTCGGGTGATCAAAACCCAAAAAGAATCATTAGAACGGATGATCTTTCACGACATTTCTGTATTGCAATGTGATAGCCCAAACGAGTCACACACGCAATCCATTCATGCGGAACTCCTTTCAACGGCCAGGCCAGTACGGTTGGTAAGTCGTGCTTTCCGTGTCCAGAACGCTTCAATTTCAGAGTTCGACCACGAACGATCTCATGCTCGGGCGAGGTCCGATTGTGGGAGTCGACATGGCAGGACCGCTGGAAACAGCCGACATGGTTCCGTATAGATATGCAACTCGAAATACGTAGAGCTCCGGGACCTCTAAACCAAACCCAAAGGTCAGAAGCAAACCAACACAGTATTTTCTGTAGACTTTGCCGCGCTGTTGGGCAAAAATGGCATTATTCCGTGTAGATGTGGTCTTCTTTCCCTGTCTGTCGCCCTTTCAGTCCATGTGAACATATCAGAAATGTCCACTTCGACTCACTAACATGGACGTCCACGTTTTTTCAACCGGTGCACCTCCCTCTTTTAGCAGAGGAACATGGTCTTATGAGGCTTCCAAAAGCCTCTCAGCCCCGAGGTTCGGTTGGAAGGTCCGATGGCGAACCGAGCGAAGCTACCTCCACGTCTACACTGACACGTCTACACTCACTGAAGTGTTCCTAGCTGCTCGTGTTCTTTGTTTCCTCCAGACCCTTCATTTTCGCTTCCTTTCTTTTCCGAACAATTACTTTACTTCGAGCCATCTCCCCGCAAACACACTGGTACGACGCAGCTGGGTTGGGGTGACTGGCTCGACATCCTCCAATGGCTTGTTGTCTGCTGTCAGGTTTGTCCTGGTTTATTGTCCAGTATTACATGCGTTGTGGTTATTTTTGTCTTAGCTTTGCTTTTCATTGCTCGCAGTCCGTTGCAGTGTCTGTCAGGCCTCGTGTTTGGCATTGTCATTCTGTGTTGTCAGTATTGGTCAGTATTCTGTGTTGTCTGTTAGTGATTCTGATTGCACTATTAGTGATTGCGCTTGCAGAACATGACCCGTTTCTTCAGGGTGGCTTGTCTGTCCAGATTCTTTAACTCTCATTCCGTTCTCTCCGGAATGAGACACCGAAGGGAACACCGTGCGGACTCGCCTCGTCGACTCGGTTTCTTCACGGTCGGACTCACCGATCGATCCAAAAAGGGGCGACTCAAGAAGCCAAGCCCAGCTGTCGCGTCCAAGCGGACACGTTCCACACCAGGCTGGCCAACGCGATGTGAACGACACCTCACGGGTGCGCATCGCGCGTCGGCGGGGCGCCGCACGATGGCGGAGAGAAGAATTGATGGCTGGGTTTTGGAGGAGTCCTGTAGATGTCTTGGAACTGATTAGCAAACTCACACCATGGAAGTTTCCTTGGTTCCCTCATTCCCTACCAGAACAACGACTTGCGCCACGCATGCGGATGGTCCAGTGCCTCCTTACCATCACAGAGTTCCTATTTTCAGGGCATCGGACGGGATACGTTCTCGCCCTCTTCCGGTCGGACGGGTTGGAGCCCGGCGTCGCCGTCATGGGTTCGTCATCACCGCCGTCCCAGCGCGCCCCCCCCATGGGACCAATGGCCACTTCCGAAGGTCAGCTTTTCCAAAGATGAAGAAAGAATGTAGACTCAAACGATGAGATCTCAACCCCCCCCAAGCGAACCAAGAGGTTTTGCAATCCATGTCTGGGGGGGTTGACTCCTCAAGGAGTCTACATGACGGCTCTCTTCCACACAATCTGCATGCTTTGTGTTCAAATGAATGCCACCTGGAAGACTTGTAGTTGCTTTGGGCGAAACGGGAAAACCAAAGACGATTCCCCAACCCAGGGGATTCACTACATAGTTGAAACATGAGTAGTCAGTTCTGCTCGGCCGGCTGAACTCTCACCCGTGCCCTGCAGCAGTGCCGAAGGACTGGAGATGGAGCCGGACAGCCAAGGCGGTAGAGGCCACTGAAAGAGCAGCCTGATGATCCTCAGATTCGGACGATCCATTTTGCTCGATTTCCATCCAAAGCTTCATGGTTGAGATGCTCATGGATTCGATGGTGCAAACCACCTCGCAAGGAGTTGAACCCCCCCAAAAAACCACTTCGGACTTGGTGGTCTCCGGACTTGGTCCAAAAACCCCAAGCCCGATGCCATGGTTGGGAACCTAAGTCGTCGTCTTCTTGGGGGGGAAGATCTGATGCAGAGCGCTTGCCGGTGACACTCCGGGGTGATACCGAACCGGCCGGTGACTGCGTCGACCCGGAGGCAGCTCGATTTGCAGCGAGGAGCAGGAAACTGGTGCCGAAGATCGGCTGCATCACGAGGGCCACCAGGAGATTCATCGCGCGATCCATCCTGATGTGGGGAGACCCATGTGGATCGGATGGCCTGGATCGGATGGAGAGACCATGTGGATGGCCTTATAGCATATACTCAATCATTGGTTGGTGGAAATGGTATGGTTGGTAGGTTGAGTACTATCTTGATGAGTACTATGTTGGGAAGGTTCGTAGCGAACGGTGGGAGCTTCAGTGGGTGGCAGGTGGAGGGGATTGGCTGAGGGTTGGGCAGCCCCTCTAGTGAGTTTCCGTTGAGTTTTTCTTGTGGAGGAGGCTGCCCAAAGCTGTTGGCATGAAACTCCTATGCTAGCAATGGCCTCCAACCTACTTTCATTGCTATGGCCTCCAACCTATTAGTGATGGCCTCCAAACTACTAGCGATGGCCTCCAACCTACTGACCATGGACCCTTGGGAATCAAACATATCGGACATACGAGCGGACTGTTCGCTTCAGCTACTCGCCCCTGGGAATCAGAAAATTCAGATTCGCCAGGCCAACATCGCCTCCCACCAAGGCTCAAGGCCAATGCCTTGCCAAGTGTCGCGCCGCCGAAATGGGCACACGAACCGTAAGGGCACGGAGTGCAGCAGCAACTGTGCGAGCTGTAGCATCCGGCCATGGCAAACAGTAGGTCAAAAACTGCTTCTGAATCCCTTTGGTGGTGCCGGGCTCCACGTCACCCAATGAGTTCAATGAAGGACTCTGATGCCATCCCCAAATCTCTTCTTCAGGCTGGCCAGGAGACTTGATCTTGTCAAGTACCAAAAAGTCTGGATGTTTGTGCAACCTGATCCAATGAAGGAAATATTGCAAGGCCCGGGCCCGGCCTGTTGGGGTCGCCTGACAATAGAGGCATTCGAATGCTGATCCTACAGCATGAACTGACAGATTCTTGCCTAAGTATTCCTGTACGTCGGTGCCTTCTAACAAGAACGTCTTCATGGTGGAATTCGACTCTAGAGTCTGCCGAATCCTGGTCATTTGACCCTTTGTACCTGCAGGATATTGTCGAAAAATCACAGTGGAAGCGTCCACGTGAAAGAGCGCATCTCCATACCAGGCCGTGCGCCCTACAAAAGCGTCGTTGTCTCCCTGCACAGCCGCTGTCACCTGCTGCGGTGACACCAAGAACAGATCCGCCAGCTCCACCCGGCCAGCGCCGTTGATGGCTGGGCTGTGATCGATTGTTGGGTCTTCACCGCCCGAGGGGTTAGCAAGCGAAAGTGCTGACATTAAAGCAGGAAGCCGCTGACCATGGCTGAAGAGATGATGGAGCTCCCGATCCAAGTTATCTTGGTTCAACACTTTGCACTTCAAGCTCTTCCAACTTTCTTCCCAAATGGAACAGATCTTGGCTAAAGCAGCCTCCTTCTGATAGCCCTCTTTTCTGGCATGGTCAATTCTGGCCTTCCACCGATCCCTCATCACCTTCAGTGGCAGTTTCCCTGCATAAGCGATGTTGGCACTCGTCCAGAAAGGGCTAGGATTCGCAAGAAGAAGCATTCCGTCACGGGCTTTGCGTGCCCAATAGTTGGCAATGGCAGTTTCAGAACTGAGGATCGTTCAGGGCTGGATGATCAGCAGGGATGACAGTCGGATCGTGCTGAACAATTTGCAGTTCATCTCCATGCGATCCAGATTCAGTAACCGGTGATTCCTTTTGCAGCTCAATGGCTACAACTCCATGTTGGCTAGCCCTCTGCTTGTACCCTGGCAGGGATTCAATGGCGATAGCCTCTCGTTCACTTGGGGCATCAGGGAGACAATTGTCCCAGCCCTCTCCGCGAAGCATGGACTCAAAAGAATCATAATGGCGCACCGCTGAGACCAAGCAACCAACGCGATCCTTTCCATTCACAAAGATTATGCGCTTCCCAGGAGTAAGTGTGGTGAACTTTCCTTGATGGATTCGCCCCTCAACAGTCTTACGCCCAGATGCAATGGCATCAAAGAACTGGCGCCTGATTGGAATTTCCAAATCGCTTCTCACAGTGTTGGTGATTAGTCCCAGGGAATCATATTGTTCCATCTGATCACGCACCATCCTTTTCACAAACAGTGATTTGCCAGTCCCAGGGGGGAAGCGCAATGACATTTGCTTTTCTTCCGATCTCATCGTAGGTCTGTTGTAGATCATCCTTCCTGATCTTTGGTACCTGCCCTTCAGACGAGTAAAGAGCGTTCGAATGGAACGAACCCATTTGATCATGGAATCCTGAATGAGACTATAGTTTCAGCGTTGCCATGCAGATTTCTCGGTAGAACTGCACCTGACCCGCTACTGAATGTGCCGCCCTGAGACTTCACCTTGTCATCCTTGAGGGGGGCCCATAGCCTTCATCCAATCCTTTTCTCTCAAAGTCTCATCGATAGCAATTTTGAAGACCCTCCCTTGGAAGTTCCTCGAGCCTTCACTCGCCGTCACTTCCATGAGGTCGGATAGCTCCTCACCCAAGATGAAGCGTTTCTCCCTCGGAACCTTTGTTCGAATGGCTGCAACCATGGCTTTTGCTGTTCCAAGCCGCGCGTGGGAGTCATTTTGGGCACCGTCTGCCCATGTGAAGGGGGGCACTCCGAACGAAATTCAGCTGATCTTCGTCCAACTTGGATAATGCAGCCGCCAACTTTTGGAAGGTGCTTGAATCCCAGCGAGATCCCTCAAAGATCTCGTTGAAGCCTTGAATTTCAAAGCCCATTGCTTTCATCACTTTCAACATGAAGATGCCGGAGTCAACAACAATGGGGGTCTGCCGGACATGAAAAGGGCTTGCGGGATCCCTGTTGAGCGTTTCCACGTAGGCGTTGGCTTCGGGGCAAGCTACTGTGACGACAGGCATGGAAAAGTAGCTGGAAATGCGCGTGTCGAGATGTTTACCTTTGGAGATCTCCACAGCTTGAGTTGGAAACATAATAGGCGAGGGGTTCAAGACACTCTTAGGTTTCGAACGATCGCCAATGTTCACTATAGATCCAAGTCGTTGAAGTCGGGATCCGTCTTCTTAGCCCCTCACTAACTCAGCAGCCACCGCTGAACTGGCTCGTTTCTTATTGCCAAGAACAAAGCCCGGACCAGCTGATTTCTGAGGTTCTACAAAGGAAGCGATGTGGTCGAAGTTACCAGAAGAGATCCACCTCGAAATCATCGCTACTCGCTCCTCAAAAAAAAGAAATTCAAAGTCGCGGATAGCTTTGCAGCAAATCAGAATTGGTGACCCTGTCAAGTCTGCTTTCAAACTCCTCCAACGGAGTGCAACGCACGACAGCAATTCTGGCTAGCCCGACAATACGTGAACGGGCCGTTGGAGCCAGTTTAGGCTTCGAAAACACATGGGCTCGATGATCTCACGGGTCACAGACCACAAATAACCTCCAGCCGCTCCTCGGCCTTGCCAACTCTCGAGCTCAGCCTTGGGAAATGGTTGCGTAGATTGAAGATTGGCCTCTAAGAGCCGGATCATGGCTCCATCATCCAAGGTCAGAGAAGTCGTCTGGAAGCTCCTCTTGATTCCGTGTCTCCCCAATTAGCATCAGACCATCATCAATAGTGCGGATACCCTCCTTCGGAAGATCAACGTTTGAAGGAGCCCACAGCCGCATGAATTCTTGGGATGGAGCTCCGACTGCTACGGTCCGCTTTCCATTGAGACAGATTCCGAGCTGAAAACAGGCGAGCTGCAAATCAGAGACATGACGGATCCCGTAAATACTATCACCAAGGATTGGCGTCCCAGCTGCAGCAAGGTCTTGACGGATCTGATGCCCTCTGCCTCCGACGAGGTGAATCAACGACACCGATTTTCCAAGGGGTCCTTTGCGTGTGCCCATCACCGTTGTAACATCTCTCTCATTTGGACTGGATAGCCTACCCCCAGGAGGAGGGATGCCGGTCATGGCCAGATAGAACTTTGAAATGGCTCCTCGTTGAGCAGCATTTTGGTGCTGCTTCCTCAAATCACTTGTCTCAGCAATCACGAGCAAACCATGAGTTCCGATATCTAACCTGCTGCACAAACCATAATTGGCCCTTGGGTCATGGTAAGCAGCATTGTCTGGGCGTTGAATTTGCATAAACCATTGCAATTGAGGCGGAGAGCGCTGCTTGCTGAACAAAGCCAACTCTGATAGTGAAGTCAAACCCAGCTGAGAAGCTGTCAGAGGCAACGGTTCACCCTTGAGAAGATCCATGTCCGCTCCTGGACAAAGCCAGCCCTTAGGCTTCCAAACCACAGTAAGGCCCCCAACCTGGCCAACTATCCTCGGTTGATCCCTGCTGCACTGGAGCTGCAAGTCAACCCCATTAGGCAGATCGCAAGGGGCTTGGCGCTGGGCTGTCGGAATCACACACCAGAGGTACCTTCGTAGGTTTTGTCCATGCGACCTGACATCTCCATATAAGCCTCCATGGTTGAGCCAGACACTTAGTTGGGTCTCTGGCTGCCCAGGGTTCTCATTTGAGGCGTATACATGCAGGCCCTTGATCACCCCATTCCAATGTTTTCCATGCGCTACAATGGTGATTGATATTCTCTCAATAGCTTCGTTGTCCTCTAACTCTTGAGCTATTATTGACAGAAGTTCAAGTGGGCTCTTTCCAAAATGAGAGCCTTGTATCCACCATGTCGTCCTAGGAAGCGCGTTCATGAACTTCTGATTACTAGAAGCCAAAGTGGCCCCGGAACCCTCGGGCGTCAACGCAAGAGGAGCATCAAGAGTGATGACTGATTCAAGATTCTGTAGAATTGATTGGACATGTGACATCTTTCGCAGAAGGACTGCGAGGGACTCATTGATCCTACGCAGAAATCCAATAACAACAGAAGAAACCTTTGACCAATGCAACCCAGAAATGCCTCTCGAAGGAAATCGAGCACTCTTATCCTTCATTTCTTCACCAAATATGAGTATCAGAATGTCCGGCAGAAAATACAGAGATGCATTGACAGCCAGCCAATCAAGCAGAGGCAATGTAACCTGAGTCGTGAGCCAGCGTAACCAGCCATCTGTGTGGCACAGTTTCCAAGTCCGAAGGCTGAATCAAGCAGATCTACAATCTGCAGTCCACACATTGAAGCGAAGACATTCAATGCAGGCCCGATAATCCAAATGCACATCAGCAGGTTTGGCAACATCATGGTTGTAATCTTGGCCGAAGCCCCGATGCACCGTTCCTGCTTGAGGGTGCCCAAAGCTGTTGGCATGAAACTCCTATACAAGTAGTTCCCGGGCAAGCCGGCGGCGGAAGTTTCCTAAAAGAAGAAATTGACCTATAGGAGTGTCCACGTTCTCTCCAACATGCGCGTCCT